TATTGCTCGTTTTACTGGAAAATATGTGAGGTTTTTGTTCTCTGACAGGTTTCCACCTTACACAGGTTCAATCTTTTGAAGGTTTGATTGTGTAAGCAGATCCTGATTCCAGCACTGAACATCAATACTGAACATACCAAAAGGGCTGCACACAGATAACTTATTTATTTTATGGTTTGTGAATATGTATTTTGGTGTATTGTATTTGTTTAGGGAGAGACACTTTTGTGTACTGCCTTTGGTAAAAAAAAAAAAATAGTAAGCATTTTATGTTTCATATATTTAAATTATTTATTGGTTGTATTGTATGCATAACAGTATTGAAGGAACTGTAGTAAACAACAACAAAAAAATCCGTTTCTGCAGTCAAAAGCTTTAAAGTTTAATTAGTTTAGTTTATTTCCCAACCAGGGGCTATTTTGGCCCTAGAGTACATTTGGAAATGTCTGGAAACATTTTGGGTTGGCACAACCAAGGTGGGGAATGGTACTGGCATATAGTGGTAGATGCTGGGAATATTAACAGAAGAGCTCACAACAAATAATTTTTTGACCCCAAGTGTCAAGAATCCTGAGGCTGAGAAACCCTGAGTTAGAGTGATGGCCATTCAGTTGATTCCAACTCATAGTGATCCTTAGGACAGAGTAGAACTACCCCATAGCGTTTCCAAGGCCATAAACCTTTACAGAAGCAGCCTGCCACATCTTTCTTCTCTGGAGAGTGCTGATGGGTTAGAACAGCCAAACTTTTGGTTAGCAGTGGAGTGCTTAACCACTGTGCCATTACGTTTCCTAAAGAGATAGGATACACAAAGTGCTTTTTTATGCTGTTGTTTGTGTTTTTTTGTTTTTTGTTTTTTTTTTTTTACAAGGTATTGTTAATTGCCATCAAACAGCTTCCGACTAAAGCGACCCTTTAGGGAGTTCTGGTGTGGCATTATAGAATAAACACTAGACTATCAACTGCAAGATCGATGGTTCAAACCCCCTGCTTCTTGGAAACCCTATACAGGGTTGATATGAGTTGGAACTGATTTGAGAGCACTTAGCAACAACAGTAAGGTAATAAATGGAGTCCTGCTGTTGATAAGCACTGGAGTGCTAACCACAAGATTGACAGTTCAAACCCACCAACCACTCCTCAGAAACCCTATGCAGGGTTGCTAGGAGTCAGAACTGACTCGACAGCACTTAACAGCAACAAGAGCAAAGCTAATACATGTTAAATGGTTGGTATAACCAGTGATATAGAGTGGAGAATGATCATTCTAGACTGAAGTGATATGGGAGTCTTCAAGAAGAAAGTGCATTTCAAACTGAGGTTTCATACCCCTTTTTGTTCAAAACAGAGGAAAACCTATGGCTCCTTCTCTGACCTCATTGCCTAGCACTCTCCCTTCTGTCCCTCCACTTGAGCCAACATGCCTTTGCATTTCCTTGAAAATGCCATGCATGCTTCTGTCTCATGGAATCTGCCCTTGCTGTTGCCTCTGAATCAAACATCCATCCTCCAGGCACACACATATCCTATTCCCTCACTTCCTGCAGGGAGCCATAGGTTTTCTGAGGAGCAGCTGGTGAGCTTGAACAGTTGACCTTGCAGTTCAAACCGACCTTGCTGTCCAAAGCATTAACCCACAGCACCACACCAGGACTCCTTATAAAATATATAATCCTGATAAATAGTAGATAATGATAAAATAGAAAGCAAAGGGTCATCTATATAATCAAAATCAAAATAAGCTTATATTCATGTTCAAAAACAGGCAATTTAGACATTGGCTATCAAAAATGGGTGTCTATAAAGTCACAAAACAGCTGGCTTACAAGCTTTCGTGATTGTGCTTAGTCTCAGAACAAGTGGGGTAAATTATAAGCCCCAATGAATAGATTTTCTTTTGTCCAGATGGGTCTGGTGAAAGGGGAGGATGGGGATATGAGTTTATGATTCAATCATGAGTAATTGTTATCATGACTAATGGTGATTTTCAAAACTGTAAATGTAGAAGAGGTGTAGCTTAAAGGGGGGGGGCGGTTAATCTTTAATTTCAGGGACAGAGGACCCTAGGACCATCAAGAGGGAGGAGCATGAGTTGAGCTTGGGGGATCCTAACCAGAAAAATGGAGACAGCAGAGAGTGTGTCATTGGCATAGGCGATAACACAGAGTATAGATAGAGTAACTGAGGACAAAAGGCCCACGGAATGACAAAGGCAGTGTGCCTGAGGGCAGGAGGCTGGCTTACAAAATGTGCCTTTTGGATATGTAAACAAGTATATTTTTTCTATTTGGCATGGCAGTGAAACAAAATATGATTTGTTGGCTGTAAAACTGATGATCTGCCCTACAAACTTTCACTCAATTCACAATAAAAGTTTTTTTTTAAATGTGTTATTAGACCAATTACTACATTTTTATATTTGTAGATACACATCTAGGTACAATTCATTAATGTTTAATTCTTTATTCTGACTATTCTTTATTCTGACTATTCTTATCAGGTTTTATTTCAGTTTACATTCATTCTCTTTATAAGGAGCTCTGATGATGCCATGGTTGGCACTCACCAGACGCTCTGCAGGAGAAAGATGTGATAGTCTGCTTCAGTAAAGATTTCAACCTTAGAAATTCTATATCCCAGCTGTATATTAAGCATTTGCAAGACGTTTTACCCAACACTGGCTCTTTACCAAGCCAATTCTACAATTATCTTTTTTCATTTGCACTTCACTGATTTACCCACTTAGAGAACCACTACAGGCGATTATGCTAATACCAACAGTAATAGCAGCTAATATTTACTGAGGAGTTTTTGTGTTAGGGACTGTCCTGAAGGCTATGCATACATTATCAGATTTAGTTCATACTACAGCAAACCCATCAGGCAAATCTGCTGTAAATGACTTTAAAAGTGTTAAAGAGCAAAGATCTCACTTTGAGGACTAAGATGCACCTGGCCCAAACCATGGTATTTTCAATCATCTTATATGCATGTGCTAGGTGGACAATGAATAAGGAAAACCTCAGAAGAATTGATGCATTTGAATTATGGTGTTGGCGAAGAATATTTAAGTCCCATGGACTGCCAAAAGAACAAACAAATCTGTCTTGGAAGCACAGCCAGAATAATCCTTAAAAGCAAGGATGGCCAGACTTCTCATCTACTTTGGACATGTTATCAGGAGGGACCAGTCTATGGAATTAAAAAACCATGTTTGGTAGAGAGTCAGCAAAAAAGCAGAAGACTTTCAATGAAATGTATTAACATGTTGTTGTTGTTATGTGCCGTGGAGTCATAGTGGCTGCAAAAATACATAACAAGGATTGTGAGGCTGTCACAGGACCCGGCAGTGCACACAGAGTCACTGAGTTGAAACAGACTGAATAGCACCTAACAACAGCAGGAGACCCGAGCTCTCACATGACTGTAATATATATATACATATACAAACACGGAGTCCTGGTGGGGCGCTGTGCGTTTATGTGCTGGACTGCAAGGTCAGCGGTTCAACCTCACCAGCCGCTTCTCAGAAACCGTAGGCAGGGTCGCTATGGGTCGTAACCGACTCGATGGCACTTAATAACAACACCACACATATTTGTGTGTCTTCGAGTCGGTTCTGACTCATAGAGACCCTGTATAGGATTTCTGAGGAGCGGCTGGTGAGTTTGAACCGCCAACCTTTATACAAGGTCGCTGTGGGTCGGAACTGACTCGGCAGCACTTAACAACAAAAATACACGTATTTGTTGTTGTTAAGTGTCTTTGAATGGGTTCCCACTCATAGCGACCCTGCACAGGGTTTCTGAGGTTGTTAATCTTTACAGGAGCAGAAAGCCTCATCTTTCTCCTGCCAAGTAGCTGGTATTTTCGAACTGCTCACCTTGCTCTCTCCCCAACCCCGCTGTTATATATATATATATAACAGGGAGAGAACGCCGCCTAGTGGACTCGAGCCACCATCTGTATAGTTCGCTGTCCACTACTTATCCTCCTATATGTTTTAATCCTGCTTATTTTTGAACTTTATTTTGGTTACGCAAAACACGGATCCTGATTCACACAAATAAATAGTTGTAAACAATGTTGTTGTTGTTAAGTGCCGTGGAGTTGGTTCCGACCCATAGCGACCCTGTATAGGGTTTCCAACGAGCAGCTGGTGAGCTTGAACCACCGACCTTGCAGTTCAAAAGATTTTGCAGTCTGACTCATTGGCCCACAGCGCTGCACCAGAAGTCCGGAGTTGTAAATAATAGCAGTCTTTTAAAGCTTGTAATTTTAGTGTCCTCTTTACTTCTCAAAATTATTTATTTTATCGCTATTAAAAATATACATAGCAAGACATGCACCAATTCAACAACTTTTACATGTACAATTCAGGGACACTGGTTACATTCTTCAAGTTGTGAAACCAATCTCACTCTAAGTTTATCTCCTTCAAGTAGGTGTGTCAAGCTGCTCCGATTTAGGTAGTTCTTTGGAGCTGTAGGATAAGGAGTCAACAGTTCAAACCCACCATCCACTCTTTGGAAACCCTATACAGGGTCGCTATGAGTCGGAACCCTGTGGACGCACTTAACACCCCGCTTGCAGCTGTTTTCTGTTTACTATTGCCCCTGAGCTGTCCACATTCTAGGGAGAACGAAATTATTCTAACCCCCTCCCTCCTGCTATGCTTTGGGAACCATGGCGACCACTGCCTGTCCTTATCCCTCCCATCGCGCCCCTCTCTCAGGCCCGTAATCTGACGTGGACACTGTCAGGGGATCTGCTAGTGACTGCCTAGTAACAGAGCTTCGAGGTCTGAGGCGAGAAAGCAAGGGGCGGGGCTAAAACGCTGGCGCGCGCACGTCTCCCTTATTCATATAAGGGGCGGGGCCTCGCCGGTCAGTCAGATCTAAGGAGAGCTAGTCACCGAAGAGCGCGGTTTCTTTTGCCTCTAGCTTGAGGGCCCGGCAAACTAGTTTCTGAGAGGGAAGAAGCTACACTATTTCTACAAAATGTCTAGTGAATCGGGCCAGCCTGAAGCTGGCCCCTCACAGACTAGCCAAGACGAGCGAAGACAGGAGAAAGATCGGGCTGGGGTCCCGGGAGGGGTGATCCGAAGGACCATTGTCCAAAGGCCCAGGTCCTGGATCCAAAATGTTCTTGAGCAAGTAATTGACACACCTCGAAAGTGGGTCAACCTCTCCAATGTGGTACCTGTCGTTGTGCTGGCCGTCCAAAGGTACCTGCTAGAGGATGAGCCACGCGCCCTGGTGTCAAAACGTCCCCTTTATTGCTATGATGTGACGATTTCAGACGGGGTGTACCAAGAGAAGTGCTACCTGGCCCCCAGCCTGAATTTTCTCGTCTACAAAAATATTCTTAAAGTTGGGAAAAAAGTGAGAATTTCCAGAGTCTCGTGTCTTTACAATGAGAAAAGGATAGGTCAAGCGATCCTATGCATAGATAGGGTCCACTGTGGGGAAATTTCGGACGCGGTCTCTTTAGAAATTCCCTTCAGAAATCGCGCTCAGGAGCAGAAACCTGAGAGACCTTTAATGGGCGGGAAGAGTCACTATCTGGCTTTGTGGAATAACGAAGATCCATATGGTGATATCTGGTTAACCAACAAACAAGCTGTGGAATACAATTTAAGCTGTAAGTAATTTGAGGAAACAGCAGAGAGTTTTTAAGAAGAAGAAAAAAAAGTTTTCTGGAGCTCATGTTAAAGGAAAATGAGGCGCTTTTGTTTTCTCAGTAACCAGCTAGGAATGATGAGGTGGTTAAATGCTGTCTAGTCGGTTCTGGCTCATCGCAAGCCTGTGTAGGGTTTCTGAGGAGCGATTGGTGGTGAAGTTAGTACTCCTCACGTCTGACTGCCATGACCCTAAACTTAGTTTCCATCTGTGGAAGCAGTATAGTTTGTATTGGTTTGACAAGTGTATAATTTGAATTGGGGCGTGGGGGGGTGGGGGTGGAGAAAGAAAAGTGTAAGCAAATGCTTTGCAGCATTGTGCGTTTTAACCTTCATTCCAAAAGGATATTTCGTGATTTATGACTTGGTAATTTACCATAGCAGAAACACCACATTGCTGTCTTTGTGGCTATCAATACTTGAACATGGGGTTTTGTGAAAAGACTTGGAATGGTCAGTGCTGATCTGAGAGGTTCAATTTCTGTGCGTATGAAGTAGGAAATTAGCCTGAAAATGCCAGCTTGTCATCAGCCTCGGGTCCAAAAACTATCTTTTTTTCTCCCCGATAAGAGATGGAATTAAGGAGAATCGTAGTACTGTACGCGTGTACATCTAGGCAACAAGAAAAAAAGAGAAAGGAGGGAAAGACAGTAGTAGGAAAAGAAAGATGATCATTTTCTACATTTACTGTTTCTCAGCCGTTTTGAAAGTTGCAGTCACAATGTTAAGTCACAGATCATCTTACTATGATGTGCAACAGCAGCAAACTTGAAAGTGGAAAGATAACTGGGTCAAAATATATGCAATTATACTTAGATCAACTTTAAAAAATAATTGAAATGACTGTGTCTGAGAAGCATGATGATCATTTCAGGTATGAAATAATGAAAACGCTTTTTTTTTTTTTTTCTCATTTATAGAATGAAAGCAATAGAGTATTTATACTCTGTGTAATTCATTTTTATTTTTAGAATTGAATATTATTTTTGGCTGTTGTAGAGCAGCCCGGACTCATGGTGAACCCATGTGTTACAGAGTGGGCTTTTCTTGGCTGTAATATTTATAAAAACAGTTTGCCAGGCCTTTATTCAAAGGAGCCACTGAGTGGGTTTGAGCAGCCAACCTTTAGGTTCGCAGCCTATCACAAACCGCTTTTGCCACTTAGGCTCCTGAGAATTGAATATAAAAAATGAAAAAATAAACTCCAGAAGAATTGTTGTTGTTAAGTGCCATCTAGTCGGGTTTTCGAGGAGCGACTGGTGAGCTTGAACCCCCGACTTTGTGGTTCAATCTCCTCAGAAACCCTATACAGGGTCTCTATGGGTCGGAACCGACTCGATGGCAATTAACAACAATTAGGAGGATAATAACATGTAAAAGTATATTTGGTTTTTGTTCTAATTATGAAAATAATATATATTCATTTATTGAAACCATGTTTTTATTACAAAAGGTAGTATGTCCATGTGCTATAAAAAATCCAAGCTGTATATTTTAAAGTATATTGTATAAAAAATATAAGACCCAAGGATAGTAAATGTTAATGGTAGAAATCTATAAAATTATTTCAGTTTTGTTTTATGTTTGAAACTTTTAATAATAAAATCTTGGGATGGGGTAAAAGATTTTTTTCACTTCTCTCTGTACCTCCAACTTTCCTCTCAAAATTGCAAAGTGTCATCAGTTTGGTATATCTTTGAAGAAAAAAGAGTGAATTAAATGGTATTGTGGGATTTGCTATTTCCATTTAATATATCTCACACATATTTCATGTATGTCTGCACATGCAATATTCCATAATGTATATTTACCAAAATTTATGTAATCGTTCCCTTATGAATTGGTCATTGAAAATTTTAGGCAATCGTTCGTTTTTCACTGTTAAGTACATCATTAGGATATATGCATTTTTGTTCACTATGTTCAAGTATTTCCATTGAATGAATGGATTTCCAGAAATGAAATTGCTGGGTTAAAGGGTATTTGAATTTTTAAAAATTTTAATGGTTACTAACAAGTTATATTCTAAAAAGATTGTATTAATTTACAATCCCACTAATTTATACGTGAGTGCCCATTTCTATTCTTACTAAGTCTGAATGTTATTAGCCTGTTGAATTTATGCTAATCTCAACAGTAAAAATAGCGCTTTACGGTTTAGTTTGCATTTCTCTCTGGTTACTGGTTAGCATTCTTTAATATGTTTATTGGCCAATTGCTTATATTTTTTGAATTGCTTTCTTATGTTTTAGACCATTTAAAAATTCTGTCGTTTGGTGTTTCTAATTATTTTGTAATGCTTCTTTGCTACTGGTTATTAGATTTTTATTTGCTAAATGAGGGTAAAGGAGACCTAGTGCCTCTGTGGGCTAATCTGTGGGCAGATAAAAGCATGGCCAATAGTTGAAACCCTCCAGCCACTCTAAGAGTGCTCTAGTCAACTTTTACAATCTCAGAAACCCTAAGGAGCAGTTTTACTGAGTCGGAATTCACTCGATGGCAGAGGATTATATGAGGGTAAATAAAGTATTGCTACAAAATAAAAAAATATGAAAAAAAAACCTTTATTAAACAAAAATATCAGAATGTAAATCTGTCGTTCGTTGACAATCCTCCATCTAGGTCTATACACTTCACAAGTCAGTATTGTCATCTCTCTAATCATTCCCCAAATAATTTTGTGTATAGATTTACATCACATCAAGACACGTTGATGGTATCCAAAACAGTTTTAAGATTCTCCAGGGACTCAATTCATGTCCCTTTTAATTTTCGTTGAGTTTGGGGAACAAAAGGAACTTTGGGTAACAAAAGGGCAAGATCAGGGCTGTATGGTGGATGGGGTGAGGTTTCCTAACGGAATTCTCATAGGACAATCCTTGATACCCTCAAAGAATGAGCAGGTGCATTGTTACGATGGGAAAAAAAGTTCAATGCAACTTTGCTGACCTTTTTCTCACAAGTGCAGTTTTTCATTTTCTTAAAACTTTTTTTCCTAATAAGCCTGATCATCCTGTTTCCTTCAAGAAAAGCTATTAAGATATAACTTTTGGGATCCCCAAAAAGTCACCATACCTTCTGATCTGACCTCTTTGCCTTGAATGCAACTGGCCCAGCAGATCTCAGAAGCCTTTGTTTTGATTGGACTTTCTTTTTTTTTAAGGCACTTGTCTATAGTCATTGTAAAGACATCTTTAAGCACATTTTAAATAAATATTCCATGCATGTATAAACTGGAAACCTAGCAGCAATACTTTTTGATTTGCCTTTGTATGGTGCTAATTGGTTTCTCATATTCTGCTGCTTTCCTCTTAATTTTGTTTATGATGTTTTTGTACTTCTATGATTTAATAGTTGTGTAGTCCTATCTGTCAATCTTATGGATTCTAGTTTGGTAGCCTTGCCCACTGTATCTAAAGATTATGAAAACAATGTTACTTATTTTCTTCTACCTTTTAAAATTGTTTCTATTTACCTCTTTAGTCCACATGGCCTTTATTTTGTGCTGGCTGCAATAAGAAATCTAACTTTAGCTTTTTCATAGAGTTCTATACCCAACCCTCAAATCTGATAGATTTGAAATTGATTCATTTCTCTTCATATCTACTGCTACCACCCATGATTTGTCTGACTCTATTCAAAAGAAAATCAATTATTTTAAATTTAAGGATTACATTACAAATCCTAGATTTGTAATGATTGCGAGACTATAGCGGGAAAATCACACAAAGCATATTAATAATACTGAAGGCAATGTGGGTATGTTAAGTGCTACCAAGTCAATTCTGACTCATAGTGACCCTGTATAGGGTTTTTGAGAAACTGGTGGGTTTGAACCACTGACCTTTTGGTTAGCAGTTTAGTGTTTACCCTACATCACCACAATATAAAATACCACTTAAAATCTTATTAAAAATAAATTATAGTAAAATGTGCCAAAGTCGGAGCCTATGTAAAATGGAAACCTGTCAGAGACAAAAAATTGAAAGATTTCCCACTGTTACAGAGCAATAGAAAAGTATAAGACTGTACTCTATAAAGGCAGAAAACTTGCAAGACCTGAAAAAATAAGGCAGATGTGTAAGTTACAGCTCTCACAGATTGGCTATGTACGTATTATCTTAATGCTGACATGTTCACTATATAATACTTTTATAAATAGAAATGGAAATGGAGGATGCCTAAGAAATAAATATTGAAACTAATACAAATTTAGGTCTTAAGAGTTGGAGCTATGGGCTATGAGAGAACAGAAAGTGGAGAGAATTGTAAATACAGAACCTCTTAACCTAAGGAAGAATAAAATTTGAAGTACAAATTAATCCTTTAAAAATGATGAATAACTATTAAGCTGTGTTTGTGTTTGTCAGCAAGCTCAAAGATTAAAATATTTCAAAGTGAATGATATGGTGTATTAGAAGGTAAGTGTATGTGCAATAAGTGTATGTACAAAATACACTTAAATATTGAAATGTATGTGTGCATTTTGTACATACAATAAGTGTATGTACAAAAATAAAGTGGGATACAGTATAAGATAAAAGGTCAGTTTTCAAAAACGTGGTGAGGAAAAACATCATTGAGAAAGCAGAACCTGAAAAAGGAGAAAAAGTACTTCTCTCTGATGTCTAAGGGTAAGACAGCCCACACCAAAGCAAGTGCAAAAGCCCTCATTCAGGAGCATTGTTGTTGTTGTTGTTAAGTGCCATCGAGTCGGGTCCGACCCATAGCGACCCTGTGCAGGGTTTCCGAGGGTGTAAATCTTTACGGGAGTAGAAAGCCTCATCTTTCTCCCGCGGAGCGGCTGGTAGTTTCGAACCGCTGACCTTAAGGTTCGCAGCCCGAATTTATATATATGAAACTAATGTGAGAAAAAGAAATATATCATAAAACAATTCTATAAATTGGATAGATAATTGCTTGTTGTTATTGTTGTTGTTGTTAGGTGCCATCGAGTCAGTTCTGACTCATAGTGACTGTCCCTTTATAGGGAGGACTTGCAAGGTTGTAAATCTTTTCATGAGCAAAAAGTCTCATTTTCTTCTGTGGGGTGGCTGGTGGGCTCAAATCGACAACTTTTGCTTATCCTATAGAGCCACCCTGCAACACTTGTTAAGTGCCTTTCAGTCGGTTCCTACTCATAGTGTCCTTGTATAGGGTTTCCAAGGAGCAGCTGTTGGGTTTGAACCACCGACCTTACTGTTAACAGTTCAGTGCTTATCCTACAGCACTGTACCAGCACTCCCTGCTGCACTTAGTAGGAAAAAAATAATTCTGTGACATTGTTTTGTGTTTGCTTGTTTCCTATAAAATAGCTTAAAGGTAGGTTTAGATCCAACTCTTCCTGGAAATGATTACACAACTTGACAAGATCGAGGACATTCTAGAAGGTAAAATATATGCAAAACTCCAGAGATGTTATTATTAAGTTTGATATGGGAGAAGTATTTAGACTGGCTTTTCAGGAAAATATCAGTTGCTTTGGGTATAATCTGGTTATTCTAAGTTTTAACCATTAAAATAAATCTTTGAAGTTACCATGATGTGTTAACTAGGACTTTTTACATTTTTCTTTTCTTTTTTTCCCATATTCTAGCTACCAAGATAATTTCTCTTTCTCACCTTGAAATGACCTGGTCTAATAGAAAGAATTTTCCTGCATTGCTTGTAAGAATCTTGTATAAATCGAAACTTCGATACTACGGGAAACCTGATAAAAAGATAGCTGAGCCATACCAGGTACAAATAATGATAAGATATTTAATGTTAATTTAAAGTATATAGATTATAATTTACAGACCTGACTCTATATTGGGATAATTTTGTTTTAAACTAGTATTTTTATAAGTTAACTAAATAGAAAAATGCACACAAACCTACATTTCAAGTTATTTATTTTTTTCCTATGTAATTCCTTGTGTTGATGCCCTTTAGTTCTCTGGTCCAGCTTATCTCCTCCATTCCTATCTCTGTATTTTCAACCTTTCCTTCTCTATTAGTGTTCTCCACAGCAACATATCAGTATAACCATATTCCTTGGAGGGCAGGATGGCCAGACCTTGTCTCTCATACTTGAGACATATTGTCAGGAGGGACCCGTCGCTAGAGAAGGATATCATGTTTGGTAGGGTCAGAGAAAAAGAGGAAGACCCCCAGCGAGATGGATAGGCAAGGTGGCAGCATCAGTGGGCTCAAGTGTGGCAACAATAGTGAGGTTGGCCCAGGATCAGGCAGTGTTTCATTCTGCTGTGCATAAGGTCACTATGAGTCGGTACCAACTCAGTGACACCTAACAACAACAGTCTCCCATTTAAAAAAAAAAAAAAAAGTATCCCTCTTACCTCATAACTTTCTCCCTTTCCTCAGGCCAAGCCCCTTGAAGAAGTAGTCTACACAAGATATTTTCATTCTCTTGCCTTACATTTCTTTCTCAGCAAAAATTAGTTTGGCTTATTTCTCCCATTCAATCTTCATTGCTATTGTTGTGTGCCATTGAGTCGTTTCCAGCACATAGCAAACCTGTATAGGATTTCCAGTCCATTGCTTATCCTACAGCACCACATTATTACTGTTGGTGGCGTTGTTAAGTGCCGACGAGTTGGTTCCAACTCACAGCGACCCTGTATAGGATGTCCAAGGAGCAGCTGGTGAGTTTGAATCACTGACCTTGTGGTTCAAACCTACCTTGCAGTCCAGTGCTTTATCCCACAGCACCACACCAGGACTCCACATCATTACTGTTGTTGTTGTTGTTGTTAATTGCCTTTGAGTCAGTTCTGGCTCATATTGACCCTGTATAGGGCTTCCGAGGAGCGGCTGATAGGTTTGAACTGCTGACCTTGCAGCTCAAACTGACCTTGCAGTCCAGCACATTATCCTGCAATGCCACATCAGGACTTCCAAATCATTACTGTTTGTTGTTGTTATGTGCTGTGGAGTCAGTTATGACTCATAGCGACCCTCTACAAGGTTTCCGAGGCTGTAAATCTTTATGGGAGCAGAAAGCCTCATCTTTCTCCCACAGATCAGCTGGTAGTTTCGAACTGCTAACCGTGAGATTAGCAGCCCGATTCGTAACCACTGCGTTACCAGAACTCCTTATTACAAGTGACCTTCTAATTGTCATTTCTGACACTCTTCTATTATCTTGACTCTGTGACATATGGGCTGATGAGAACTTCTTTCATAATAAATTTGTGACCTTGTTAACATTTTACTGCATTTTTCCATGTTACTCATAATTTCTCCCCAGTCTATCCCCTCCTGAACTCTCTCTCCTTGCCCAAAAACAGCCAACTTTCCTATTCCTATAAGTAAAAAAAAAAAAAAAAATGTTTTCTACCTTTCGTGCCTTTGCTCATGATGTTCTTTCTGTCTTAGTTATCTGGTGCTGCTATAACAGAAATACCACATGTGGATTACTTTCACAAACAGAAATATTTTTCTCATATTTTAAGAGGCTAACAAACTTAATTCAGGGCACCAGCTGTAGGGGAGGGCTATTTATCTGTTTGCTTTGTGGGGAAATCCTTATCTCAGAGTTCAAGGCTGAACTTCTTAGGTTCAGCCTTCCTATTGTTGTGTGCCATTGAGTCTTGGAGATCTCTATGTGACCTCTGTGCTTTTCTCCAGTTATGCTTGCTTCCTTCTGTGCCCAATCTGCTCTTTTTAGATCTCAAAGTAATAGGGTTTAAAATATAACCTGTACTGATATGACCTAATTAACAGAATAAAGACAATTCTGTTCCCAAGTGGAATTATATTCACAAGTATAAAAATAAGGATTCCAACACATGTTTTTGAGGGGAGGAGGAGGGAAGAGAGACCACAATTCAATCCATAGATATATCTATCTAAAGTTCTTTAATATAAGTATAGGGCTCCCAAGCACTTCAGAACATCAAGAAAGAAGTCAAGATCTACACTTAGAATCTCTAAAATGTGATTTAGTCTAATTCAGTTGACAAATATATTACGTGGTTACTCTACTCAAGGCAATGTGCAGAGTATTATAGGAGAATCAAAGGTAAGTAAAATTGATCTGTGTTCTTAGAGTTTACAGTCATACATTAATTAATAGTAGTTTCAGGACTTTTAAAGTTCTCTTCTTTAGATCACCAATACTTGGCAGAGTTGACAACTGAATCTCTGCTAATGAAGAACTAAAATTTAGAAGTTATTTTATATCAGTCTAAATTATTACAGATAATCTGCAAGTATTATAATCATCTGTGTAGATCAAAGGCACAAAGATGTATGCTATATTACTCTCTTTTTTCTAGACCTTTTTGGAAGTTGCTGACAATTCAGGCATGGTTTCAGTGGTTATGTGGAATGCTCTGTGTCCTGAGTGGTATAAATGTTTGCAGGTTGGTTTCGTTCTTCTGCTTCAACAGTACAACGTTAAAAAGAGTTATCCATCCAGGACGCAGCCTCTCCCTGTGGATCCACAGATGAAACTAATTTCTACAATGGGTTAAGTAGTCAATGAATTTGTTTTATGGCTATTTTAGTTGTATAAATTTGCAAAGAACATTATCAATTAGAGGCCCGTGAAAATTACTTAAGCTGTTAAAATTTGAGCAAACTTTAAATTCCTTTTTCCATAAAATTTGCCTTTTTCTTAAAGTCACATAACTTAATAAGTACATTTATTTATGATTGCATTTATTTAAAAAATCATATGAGATATTTATTGTTGTTTAACAAATGAGCTCTGCTTGGGATATATTTTTGGTTTTGGTCACATAGTTAGTAATGAAAGTATTTTGCTGTTAGTATTAGGTGCTATTTTTAAAAGACTTGCTTATTTTTATTTGAAATAATTTGAAACTTACATAAAAGTATGGTACAAAAAAGTTATATATGTCCTTCACCCAGGTTCAAGAATCCTTAACATTGATTTTTGCTTTATCTTTATCATTCTCTCTGTCTCAGTCTCTCTCTGCTTCTCTCTAAATATATACAGACACACTTACACATATTTGTTGTTGCTAAGTGCTGTCAAATCAGTTCTGAGGCATAGTGACCCTGCATAGGGTTGCTAAGGAGCAGCTGCTGGATTTGAACTGCCAAACTTGTGATTAGCAGTCCACTGCTTATCCTACAGTGCCACACCAGGTGCATATTTTCCTCTGAATACCCAAATATTTCAATAATATTTCAGTGTGTATTTCCTAAGGACAAGAACATTCTATTGTGTAACCACAGTATATTTATAAAAATCAGGAAATTTATCATTGATACAATACCTATAGTTAATCTTAAGATCTTGTCAATTGTTACAATTTTGAAAGGGCTTCTCTTAATTAGTATTGAAATTAAAGTTTTGATATCTTGGCACCCCAATATTTTGGGAACATTGGAATTGATACATTCATTAAGTGATTGCTTTAAGGTATGATTGTGATTTGCGTGTGTATATTTTTATTCTCTAGTATTGTTGGTTATGTCATTCAACAGGTTTCTATTGTTTGGACCAATAATACTTTATTTCTGAACCTGTGTTTCTATGTATTCTAAATCCCCTAGCTAATCCATTAAGATTAATTACTTAGAGACTTTTCAAATAAATACAGCAGTTGTTCATTGTTTTCAGAAATATATGTTTATTTAAGAAAATCTTATATAACCCTTTCTTAAAATCCTGAGCATTCTATAGACATACTGATAGTTGAAGAAGTTATTTTACCTTGATAGTTTTGTACAATTAGTTCATTATCTCACTAATTTTTACAATAAGAAGATGAGAAATTAATAAAGTTATGACTTACTTGAGAAAATACAGTAAAAGTTGTCAAGAGGAAGATAATTCACAACATTAAATTATAAATTATAAATACTCTCCTACAACCAAGCATATCTAGGTGAAAAAATGCATTATACAAAGCTGTGGTTTTTATGATAGTGTGGCAATGGTACAGGCATAGGCAAACTGACTAGTGAGTCACAATATGGAGTTCAGAAAGAGCCCTAGTTGTACTCTAAGTGCAGTCCTGGTGTGGCGCCGTATGTGGCTTCCATGAAGCAAACACACTCCCTTTAGGAAAAGGGAAAAATTCACAAGTAGGACACAAGAAATATGAACGATTAGAAAAAAAGATTAATAAACCTAAGTACATTAAAACTAAGAACTTTTTCTATTAAAAGAACCACAAAGTGAATGAAAAAACATGTCACAAACTGCGGAAGGTGTTTGCAACTACAGGTATGTATCATTTAATGTCCATGATTGTAATTGTTAAGTGCCATCAAGTCAATTCCAACCCATAGCGGCCCTGTAAAGGATTTCCAAGAAGCAGCTGGTGAGCTTGAATCACCGACCTTCCAGTTCAAATGATTTTGCAGCCTGACGCATTAGCTGCACACCAGGACTTCAATGTCCATGATACATTCTGTGAAATAGGGTTGAGTGAAAAAAAGTCGTCCTAGAAAACTGTATGTGGTATGCTCTCATTCATATGAAGTATAAATGTAAGCCAAAATGAAATGGTGTTTGTTGGTGCAAAAAGATGTAAGTGATAAAACTATGTTTTGGTCTTTTCTTTAGTTCAGGAAATGATAAACCACAGAACTCAAGGTATTTGGTGTGGAGATAAGTAAATGTGATAATGAACATAGAAAAAAGTCTAGTTCTTGGGTTTCATGGTAGCTTCATAAGTGTTCAGTATATTATTTTGCTGTGTAATTTATAAATATATTCCTTTTAAATATGTTAAATATTATATTAGAATAATATGTTTATTTTTCAGAAATCTGCCTGAACCGTCAAGATCCTCCAACTAATATAAGTATTATTCCAGAAAAGCAGGTGAAACCAGAATGGAGATTGCCAAAATTAAGTAACCGATTTGTCACAAGGTAAAACAGTTTATTGTAAAATGTCTTAAATATCAGTTTTTAGCATTATTGTTGTTATGTGCAATCACGGCAGTTCTGACTCATAGTGACACTATATAGGGGTTCCAAGGAGTGGCTGGTGCAACCTTTTGGTTAGCAGTCCAGTGCTTATGTTATGCATTATAATTTACTAAAATTCTACCCAAATTTATGCTGCAGTGGTTAAATAGATATTTTCATAATCATAATTGTAGAATACTATTCCACTGTTTAAAGATAAAATAACTATTTAAACGTTTCACTTTTTTTAGATCAGAACTGGATGACTTGCCAGAAAATCATCTCTGTGATGTTATTGGGATTTTAGTTTTTGTAGGAAGAGTCCAACGGTTAAAAAAGAAAGGTAAATCTTTTCAATTTAAAAGTCAAAAAATATATTTCAGTGAATATTTTTGTGTTTATATGTGTATAATTTACCTTCATTTATTTTAATATTTCATCCATATAGAAAATCGTGATGATTTTTGGACATATCGTTGGGTCCACATTGCTGATGGGACTTCAGAACAACCATTTATTGTGGAATTGTTTTCTACGTCTCAGCCAGAAATCTTTGAAAATATTTACCCAAGTACTCAGTTCTTATATTTTTATCATTTGATTTTGGAAGGGGAGGGGGGCATTAAACTTTAAGAAAAATGGTACATTGACCTAACAGAGGTAGCATGATAGTGAATTAGAAAATTCAAGCATTCTGACAGCATGTTTACATCTTTTCTGCATTAATATCATATGTGATGTTACATATATTAGTCACCTACTTTGGAGAAGATTATACTGGCTGTCTATTCAGAATTAATTTGAAGTTGAAACTAGTTTTTCAGAAACATGTACTCTTATCAATTATCACTGTTAGCATTTGAAACATGAAAGCTTAAGATCCAGTAAAACTAAAACTTACTCAATTCCCTTTATATCCATTTGGAACTTATTAGACTGCATTAAAGACATTGAAAGTTTCACTGAAGTGGAATTAATTGGTAGAAGATTGGCATGCTGTATAATTAAATGCTGATAATAATAAGTATGATTTCATTTGAGTACTATATTAATATCTGATTGATGTGCTATACAAACTGTCAGCTTTCACTTACTTTGGCATTAACTTTTTGCTCCATATTAAGATTCAAAGGTAATTTTTCCACTGATTTTCTTTATTTGAGACCATTTTAGGTACATCCTGTTACGTATTTCATATATCAAGTTAGTCTTTAACTCTTTTATGATAAGAAATATATATACACATACACACATAAATATATTTCTATATTTGTTAAGTGCCATCTGTGGCACTGTAGGATGAGCACTGGACTACAAGGTCAGTTTGAACTGCAAGATCGGTGGTTCAAGCTCATCAGCCACTCCTCAGAAACCTCATACTGGGTCACTATGAGTTGGAACCAACTTGATGACACTTAGCAAACTACATAGCCATTTGACCCTATATAGTCATTTGAAAATATTTCCTTTATTTCACTGGTACAGAATAAAGAACTAGTAAATACGAAATTTAGGGCATGAATTTCTACTTATCTTGCTGTAAAGAACTTTTGATTTTTAAATGAGAATTTACTATTATGCATTATTATAAGTATATTTTAAATATAATGGTAGCCAGGCACCATCTAGTTCTTCTGACCTCCAGTTAGTGGAGGCTGTGGTTCATGTGGTCCATTTATCCTTTGAACTAATTACTTCCTTGAGTCTTTGGTTTTCTTCACTCTTCTTTGCTCTGGATGAGGAGAGACCAATAATTACATTTTAGATGGCTGCTCACAAGCATTTTAGACTTCAGTTATTACTCATAAACAGAATGTAGAACCTTGTGTTTGTGGACTCTTATGTCAGTTGACCTTGTTGTCCCTTGAGATTGTAGTCCTAAATCCCCAAGCCCAGTGAGTCATGCCCTCAAAATGTTTGATCAGCACTGGACTGCGAACCACAAGGTTGACAGTTCAAAACCACCACCAGCTGCTCCTCAGAAACCCTAAACAGGGTTGCTATGAGTTGGAACTGACTTGATGGCACTAACAACAACAAGTTTTCAGAACTTTGCCCCCTGTATACGTAATGGTTATGAATTGAGCTGTGAACCACAAGGTCAGCAGTTCGAAACTACCAGCTGCTCTGCGGGAGAAAGATGAGGCTTTCTGCTCCCGTAAAGATTTACAGCCTCGGAAACCCTGTACAGGGTCACTATGGGTCGGAACCGACTCGACAGCACTTAACAACAACAACAACATGCTCTACAATATCCTTGGACATATTTACTGCACACATAAATGCATGTGTAAAAGTGCCTTCTTCCAAGCCTCTATATACTCATGAGTGAATTACAATTCTTTCCACATCTATTCAGCACGTATGCCAACTTATTATATCTACTAGTGGTGGTGGCGGTTATGTGCCATAGAGTCGGTTCCGACTCATAGTGACTCTGTATAGGGTTTCTGACGCTGTAAATATTTACGGAAGCTAAAAGCCTCATCTTTCTCCCATGAAACGACTGGTAGTTTCGAACTGCTGACCATGAAGTTAGGAGCCTTACGCTACCAGAGCTCCTTATATCTATTAGATGTTGCTTGTTATTACTATCATTTCAGAATTGTGCACGCAGTATTATTTATCTTTGCTGTCATTTATTCTTGTGCACTTCACAGTGTTTTTCTTTGCCATTGGTCATGCTGTGCTGCCTTCCACCTTAGTGTATATTCCCTTTTCCTTTACCCCCATTAATACATGTGTACTCTCTAGTTACTAATTTACTCTTCCTTACTCTCCCATCCTTGATAACTATCAAAGAATGTTTCTTTCTGTGTATATATTTGTTGTTTTGACTTTTTATAATAGTGATTTCATAAATATTTGTCCTTTTGTGACTGACTTACTTTACTTAGAATATTCATGGATTCTTCATTATTATTTATTGTTGTGTAGTATTTCATTGTGTAAGTACTGCAGTTTATTTATCCATTCTTCTGATGATGGGCACTTAGGTTGCTTCTATTTTTTTGCTACTCTTAATGTACGTGGGTTTGCATAAATTTATTCATGTCATGGCTCTTATTACTCTAGGACATATTCATAGTAGTGGGATTGCTGGATCATATAGTGTGCATGCCTGTCATTGTATCAATAAAGGGCTGTTTAGACTACCATAACTGTTTAGGTAGATTTTGAGATCTAGGAGTATGCAGCCTTCTATTTTGTTCTTCTTTAGCAGTGCTTTGACTTTCTGAGATCTCTTTCCAGTACATATAAAGTTGATGATTAACTTATCCATTGTCACTGATTGTATCAATACAAGGCAGTTTAGACTACCATAGCTGTATAGGGTAGATTTTGAGATCAGGGAGTGTGTAGAGATGTGTTTTAACATATTCTGTTTGGAATAAACCTATGCATGTCTGAAATGGAACCCTCAGTAGCAATACTTTCTGATTTACACTCATATTCCCTTAATTATGTTGAAGAATTTTCTTTCTATTCTTATTTTGGGGAGAATTTTTTAAATTACAAATGAATATTAGAGTTGCTCAAATGCATTTCTGCATAGATTGAAATAATCATGTGGTTCTTTTCTTTTTTTATTTATGTGCTGGATTGCATTTCTTCTCTAATGCCGACTTAATCTTACATACCTGGTATGGATCCAACTTGGCCATGATATATTATTTTTTTGATATGTTGTTGGATTATATTGGTTAGAATTTTGTTGAGTTTTTTTTTTTTTTTAATGAGGGATACTGTTGTATAATTTTCTTTTGTAGCATTGTCCTTGCCAAGCTTTAATATCAGAGTTATGCTTGCTTCATAGAATGAATTTGGAAATATTCTGTCTTCTTCTATGCTCTGGTGTATGGTGTCTTCTCTGTAAGGTGTCATATCTTCTCTGACAGTATGGTAGAATTATATGGTAAAGCCATTTGTGTCAAGACTTTTTTGGTTGGATGTTTTAAACAACTTGTTGAACTTCGTTTGTTATGGATCTGTTCAAATTTTTTACTTCAATCTGTGTTAGTTTAAGTAGCTAGTGTGTTTCTAGAAATTTACACATTTCTTCTAGGTTTCAAATTTGTTCATGTACAGTTTTTCTTAGTATTCTGTTACAATTTTTATTTCAGTTGGTTCTGTTGTGACATGGTGTATTTTAAATTTTTATTTGTGTTATTTGCATCTTCTCCTTCTTTTCCTTTGTTAGACTTGCCAGTAGTCTGTTTGTTATTTCATTAATCCTTCCAAAGAACTAACTTCTAGTTTTGTTGATTTTTAATTATCTATTGTTATTGTTGTTGTTAGGTGCCTTCGAATAGATTCTGACCCATAGCAACGTTATATACAACAGAATGAAACACTGCCTAGTCTTGCATCATCCTCACAATTGCTGCCATGCTTGTGCCCATTGCTGCTGCCAGTGTGTCAATCCATTTCATTGGGGGTCTCCCTCTTTTTCTCTGACCCTCCACTTTACCAAGTATGATGTCATTCTGCAGGGATTGGTCCCTCCTGATAATACGTTTGAAGTATGACAGACAAAATCTGGCCATCTTGACTTCTAAGGAGCATTCTGGTTGTACTTCTTTCAACACAGATTTTCTTTTCCATTTGCAGTCCATGGTTCCTTTAATATACTTCTCCAACACCATAACTCATATGCATCAATTCTTCTATGGTGTTCCTTACTCATTATCCAACTTTCACAGGCATATGAGGCTATTAAAAATATCATGGCTTGGGTCAGGCACACTTTAGTCCTCAAACTGCTGACATCTGTGCTCTTGAACAATTTAAAGAGATCTGTGCAGCAGATTTTCCCTAATGCAATACATCATTTGATTTTTTGACTGCTGCTTCCGTGAGTGTTGATGGTGGATACAAGCAAAATGAAGTCTTTAACAATTTCAATCTTTACCCCATTTATCATGATGTTATTTACTGCTTCAGTGGTGAGGTGTTTTTTTTTTTTTTTTTTTTTTTTTTAAACAATCAATAGCTTTTATAAATAGTTGAAGACTGAAGACATTAGATCATTTCTAAGGATTTTGTTTTTTAATTATAAAGTTAGTTATCAAGATGAGAAGAAAATAAACAGGTGGTATAATCCCTGCCAATGTGGTTTAAAGTTTAATTAAGATAAACACACAGGAGACATAAGATACTTGATTGTTGTTGTTGGTAAGTGCCATTGAGCTGATTTAGACTCAAAAGGATCCTGTATATGTTTTCCAAGAAGATGGTGTTTGAACTGCCGATTTTGCAGTATCAGTCCAGTGCTTATCCTATAGTGCTTCACAAGAGAAACACACAAGAGACATAAGACACTTGCATAAGCTAATACAATTTAAAGCTGTATAGACCTTGCTATTGGAAGGACTCAGATTAATTTAGGAATCAGTGTTAAATTTGGTGTATCTGTGAAAGTAATATGGAGAAAGTTAGATTTTATCTTTGTAGAACTGTTGTGGGCCCAGTTAAAATGACTCTTACACTCTTCAACTATGCAGCAAGAAATCAACTTCAGCTAGATGCAGTTGTACTTTCTAAAGGAAAGGATGATTTCTTGTAGAAAGTAAAATAAATAAACATTAGATCATTTTAGCTCAACATATAGTCAAAGGAGACTATGAGTTTATGATTAACACCAGTATCACCTATGAGTTTATTAGAAATGCTGAATTTCAGTCTCCACACTAGACCTACTGAATTGGAATTTGCATTTTAACAATAGCTCCAGAGATTTGAAATAATGAAATTTCCACGTCATTATGCTATGTAAGTTTGAGAAGTATTGTGTTAAAGCCTGACCTTGGTATGTCATTTCATATATGTTTTCATTTTTCCAGTGACATATTTCATGTGTACACAGTTGAAAGTTGTGAGAAGTAATGATCAAGTACCTAAACTGCTTTATCTCACTACTACAGATGAGAGTCGAATATTTATTATTGGTGAGTAAATTCTTGGTATATACTTTATTGGAAATATATTGTCTCACTTTAGAACATATCTAATAAACTTTTAATTACAATATTCAACCACTAGATAGCTTTATTTTCATGACTCTTTATGCAAAAGTTTGAACAAAGACGAGACTATGAAATATATTACTCTTGGATTATTTATGATTGAAGCAATGGCTTTGTGATTCACTGGAGAATTGTGTTTATATCCTTTGGGTATTTTAAACAAAAATGTATTAGAATTAAGCTCCAGAATCTTATGTTTTATGTATATAGCAAGAAGAGTCTTACTACTTGCCTACTACTAGTACATTATTTTTCTCTATTCCCCTGATAAGAAGATTTAAAAAAAAAAAGTAAAATTTACCAAATTAGACAATAAGGAAATAGTGTGGAATGGGATGTTTATTAGAATCTGCCACGTTGGTAATTAGCAAATTTGTAAAAAAAAAAAAAAAAAAAGAAAGAAAGAAAGAAAAAGATGCCTAGGAAAAGTTCCTATATCTATTTGTCAAGTCCTTGATTTAAAAATATTAATAATATCAGATGAAAATACGGCATTTTAAGTATGCTTTAAGACTATAAGTTTAAATGCTAAGCCATGTATTTATAGCCATTTTATACATGATACTATGCATCTAGGTTAATACATGATTTTTTTAAAAATTGGTTTTTAAAAGTATGCCAAACATTCGGATAGCCAGAAAAATCCATATAATTAGTTTTTATTTTCTTGCAGGTGTTCAGCTTCCTGTAGCCAGTTACAGATTAGTCCATTTAAACTCTATTACATCTGACTTCCTTCCTGATATAAGATTTGCTTAGCATAGCTGGGTAATCTTTATATGCATATTAAGAATAATTATCTGCTACATAGTAAGCAAGTGAACTTGACATCCTTTCTTAATGACGTAGAGATTTTATTTTGATATTAAATTATTTTTGTATAAAAAATGTTTATGCAGTTTCCTATAGAGATTTTTTTTTTCTTTTTTCCTTTTAATGTTTCATCCATTTGTGCAAAAAGGTCCCAGAGGCCAACCATATACCTATGATACCAAGGTAAAAAACTTTATTCAATGGATCAAAACAAAGCCGGATCATGGGGAAATGAAGAATACTGTTTTTGGTGGATATTACCCCTATCCACCAGTGCCAGAGACATTTTCGAAGTATAGTAGTTCTGTTAAAGGTACTAATATAATTGCTAATCTTTTGGGATATGTTTATAAGCTTTATGTATGGTGTATGCTATTTCATTTGGTCAGCTTTTTTTCTTTTATTTGAGGGAGACAAATTGTGCAAATACTTACTACTATTCAGTTGGTCTTTATGCAGACATGTCATGCCTCCTAAAGTTTAATATTTTGATCTTTAGTTAAAGAGAAGATAAAATGTAGAAGATTATTAACCTGAGAGAATATATTGATTTAATGTCATTAAGATTATATCTGACCTTGGTACATCTCAACTCCTATGAAGTTACATAAAGAAACTAAAGCCTAAATAGATGCTGAGCCATTTGATATCCATACACTGACAACTGTATACTATTCTTATGGAATTGTATATATTGTATGTAACACAGCTGAGTGTTACCTTTAAATAAAGGTGAAATCAATGTAAATGAGATGCTGAATTTGAATTAAAGTATTCATGAGAGGCTTAACATTAATTTACTTTATAGTTGGATTAAGATATGGTAGTTGAAAAGTTTAACGTAACTATGTTCTTTTTTAAAAGCTATGGGGTAATTGTGTGGTTTTGGGAAAAAAATCAGTAACCTTGAAATGCTAACTTATCTAAATATTGGCATCCTCTTGTACTTCATAATATTGTTGTTGTTACATGCCATTGAGTTGGTTCCAACTCATAGTGACCCTGTATTGGATTTCCAAGGAGTAGCTGGTGAGTTTGAACCACTGACCTTGCGGTTCAAACCAACCTTGCGGTCTAGTGCATTATCCTACAGTGCCACATAAGGTTAGAAATAAGATATGTGTTTCTGTTAAGTCTCTGGGCAATACTTTATAGTTTGAAATAAGTTAGTTTCAATGTGCTAAGTTTCTGTTCCAAATGAAGACTGGACAGGAAGTCTGCGTTATAATTTAACCGATGAAAGTATTTTGCCTATTTTATAAAAACTACTTACCAAAAGCCAAAACCAAACCTACTACCATCCAGCCGATTCTGACTCGTAGCAACCATGTAGCAAGTTTCTGAGGCTGTAAATCTTTACGAGACCAGAAAGCCTCATCTTTCTCCTGAAAAGCAGCTGATGAGTTTGAACTGCCAACCTTGTGGACCTGTGCTTAACCTACAGTGCCCCCTGGTCTCCTTATAAAAACAAAAACAAGCAAATAAACAAACAAAAACATGACATAAGGGGATGTCAAATATAAATTCAATGTCTTAAAATTTTAGGTTAACATATCAAGTTTTTAATTTTTTATGTTGTGAAATTGTATTGCAAATCTAATTCTTATTTTTATCATTTCAGTTCTTTAAACCTTACAATTTCCTTGGGATTACTCTTTTGCAGTTGAGTCGCTCTTGACAACTATAAGTGAAGTGAGGAAGGAGATTGAAGACTTGCAGTATAGGGAACAAAAGCGCGTTGCAGTTCAGGGGATAATTACTGTTATAAAGTATATCCCCCATAGTGATGCAACTGAAAGTGCTTCAACATCAGAAACACTTCAGGTATGGTGCCAGAGAACTAATAGTATATCTCTGAAAGCACTGTAATAATTACAATATGTATCTTGTACATTTCATTCAGAACACACATGTAATGATTCTTAATGATGTAAATCCAACAACATAGGAAAAATTCATTTTTATTTCCTTTTCTGTCATTTATTTTGAGACAGGCTTCGCTGAATGTCAGTCTCTGACATTGCCCAAGTTCCGCAATACGTGGTATCTTATTTTGCTCATGGTGTCTTGTTTTTGCTTCCTGTATAACTTGAGTCTATTATGATTATATATTTAAATTCCCAGGTTGTATGTGAGGGGGCTGCAATAAGTTTGTGGAAAAGACTTATTATCCTTTAATTCCATTTTTCCATAAACTTTTTGAAGACCTCTTATATGTGTTTTTTTCTCTCACTTTTTGTCCAGGCCAGAACTACAGAAAGGTTTCTTCCCCCAAAGTTTTACCTCTATATATTTGGCCTGGTATTACACAGGTTCTATAAGAACTCTTGTAGGTTAAATGGTCTATCTAATAATTAAAAGAAATTATTTCTGGGATATAGATACAATCAAGATAAATTAGTTAATTAATCCCACTAGTTTATCTTTTTTTCCCATTAGTTTATCTTTTAAAAAATATTTTTTTAGGATCATTACTGTTCATATGGAAATAATCATCTAATTGAACTTTTACATTATTCTAGTATACATAAGAAGGATTTTTATTTACATTCCTTTTTAAAATACTTAAGTCATATAGATTCAGATAAGTCATCTTCATAAAAGCACATCACAACTCTCAGGATTATCAAAAACAAAACAACCAACCTGTGAACTAAAATTATAGTCTTTGAAAGGAGAAATACTTTTTGAGAATTAGTTTTAAATGCTTTCTTTAATTGTTCATTTTTAGAATGCTATTCTACCCTCAACATCCCAAGCAGCAAAAGGAGCAAGTCAACATCAGGAAAGAGAAGGTAAACGGCATCACAATGACATTGAACCTGCAGGTTCTCAGTGTTCTCACACTGAATCTACAAATTTGAGTCCTAGCAAGAAGAAGAGAATTCTGCAAGGCCCAAATGATAAACCGTAAGTAATTTACATATGTGCATACCATATGCATTTTCTCATTTTAGGTCCTGTGTCTAGCCTATGTAATGATCAGTTATAGTAAAAGCAGGACTCCTGGTGTGACTCTGTAGGACCAGCACTGAACTGGGGACCACAAACCGACCAGCTGCTCCTTGGAAACCTTGTACCAGGTTGCTATGGTCAGAACCAACTCAACAGTGCTTAACAACAAGATTGTAGTAGCATGACTTATTGAGAATACCTTTTAAATGGGAAATTATAAAATAATACTGCACTAAACAAGGGACACAGTGGGTAAATCCCATCTTCATTGCTACCTGCCAGGTAAGGATCTGCATGAATCCAGTCTCCAAAATATGGAAATGGATCCAGTCCTCAGCTTCCCACTTCTCCATCCAGCCCAGAGCTAGGTCAGACTTCTCAAGTTAGAACACTTTCTTACAGATTTCCAGGTACCCTGTGGGCTTGTTAATTCACTGGAAATGACTTACAGAATTCACAGAATATAAACTATACTTACCCACTTCACATTTATAACAATCAAAAGGGATACAGATAAAGATATACATAGAGTGAGTTCTAGAAGAAGTCACAGCATCTAGCTTTCATGTCTCAAAGAAGGACAAGCTACCATTTCCCATGCATGGTCATCAAACATGAAACTCATCTGAGTCTTAGGGCTCAGGGCTTTCATTGGTCTTCCCAGATGCACATGTTAAATAACAACATGCTTCCTAAAGCTTAGTCAGCACTGAGTCTTCAGGAAGTCCCGCTTGGTCTGGTTAGCCACTATTCAGTACTTTTAGGTGTTAGTCTGGCTAGGAAGAACTGAGAACAAAAGGCCGAATAGCTTTCTGCAGAGTGATTGCATATCTCATGCATATTTTAAACACTAAAAAACATATTTAAGCATTTCATTTTAAACTAAAACATTATTGCTTGCATTTATTTGCCAATTGCTTGTATATAAGTCTTTCCTACTTAAACCACATTCATAGTAAATTGCATATGATTAAGAGTTTCTGATTCTTTAAAGTGACAGGAAAGCCCAGATACTTGTGCAGCAGGCTGAATGCAGAATCATTTATAATATCTATCTTTTATTGTGTTGGGTGTTGTTAGGTGCCATTGACTTGGTTCCAACTCATAGTGACCCTAAGCACAACAGAACAAAACAGTGTCTGGTTCTGCGCTGTCCTCACCATCATTGTTATTCCTGAGCCCATCACTGCTACTGTGCCAATCCATCTCATTGAGGGGTCTTCTTCTCTTTTACTAACCCTCCACCTTATCAAGCATGATGTCTTTTTCTAGGGACTGGTCCCTTTGGATAATATGAGAAATGAAGTCTCACCATCCTGGCTTCTAAGGAGCATTCTGACTGTACTTCTAACATAGATTTGTTTGTTCTTTCAGAAGTCCATGGTACTTTAAAACTTATTCTCCAACACCATAACTCAAAAGCATCAATTCTTCTGTAGTCTTCCTTATTCATTGTTCAAATTTTATATCAGGCTATGGAAAATACCATAACTTGGATCAGGTGCACTTTAGTCCTCAAACTGTTATCTTTGGTCTTCAACATTTTAAAGAGGTGTTGTGCAGTAGATTTGCTGTCCTTTGATTTCTTTCTTGACTGCTGGTTCCATAAGTGTTGATAGTGGATCCAAGCAAAATGAAGCCTTTGACAGCTTCAATTTTTCTCCATTTATCATGATGCTATTTATTTATCCAGTTGTAAAGAGTTTTGCTTTGTTTACATTGAGGTGCAATCCATACTTAAGGCTGTGGTCTTTGATCTTCATCAGTAAGCGTTGTAAGTTCTCTTTGCTTTCAGCAAGCAAGGTTTTATCATCTGCATAACACAGGTTGTTAATTAATCATCCTCCAATCCTGATGCCATGTTCTTCTTCATATAATTCAGTTTATTGAATTATCAGCATACAGGCTGTATGCAAATAGTGAGCGAATACAACCCTGGTGCACACCTTTTTTGGTTTGAAACCATTCAGTGACCCTTGTTCTGTTGGAACAACTGCCTCTTGGTCTATGTACATGTTCCTGATTAGCACAATTAAGTATACTGGAATATCAATTCTTTACAATGTTATCCATAGCTTTCCATGATCCACACAGCTGAAAGCCTTTGCATAGTCAATAAAGCACAGCTAAACATCTTGCTGGTATTCTTTGCTTTCAGTCAAGATCCATCTGACGTCAGCTATTATATCTCTCACTCCATGTCCTTGTCTGAATCTGGCTCGAACCTCTGAAAGTTACCAGTCAATATACTATGACAGCCATTTTAAAATTATCTTAGCAAAATTTTACTTGCATGTGCTATTAATGATAGATAAAACCTTGCTTCAAGTCAGTTGAGCTATCTTCCAATTTATTTATTTATTTATTTAGCATAGATGAGTGAGTGCCTCCAGTGCTGCATCAGTTTGTCGAAATATTTCATTTTGTATTCCATCAATTCTTAGAGCCTTGCTCTTTGCCAGTGCCTTCAGTGCACCTTGGACTTCTTCCTTCAGTACCATTAGCTCTTGATAATATGCTACTTCTTGAAAGGATTGAACATTGACTATCTCTTTTGGGTACAATGACTATGTGTATTCCTTCCATCTTCTATTGATGCATTTTTGCAACATGCCTATGTTGTTGTTGAGTCAGTTCAATTCATAGCAACCTTGTATAGGGTTTCCAAGGAGCAGTGAACTTGAACCGCTGATCTTACGATTCAAAATTACCTTGCAGTCCAGCACATTAACCCACAATGTCATTCGAGGGCCCATAGAATCCTTCAAAACAGCACGTCAAAGCTTGAATTTTTTACTCCAGTTCTTTCAGCTTGAGAAATACTGAACATATTCTTTTTTGGTTTTATAACTCCAGGTCTGCATAGTTCATTGTAATATTTGAATGTCTTCTCAGCTGCCCTTTGAAAATTTCTATTCAACTCTTTTAGATCTTCATTTCTTCCACTTGTTTTAGCATCTCTATACTGGAGAGCAACCCTGTTCAGGGTCGCTATGGGTCGGAACTGACTCCACGGCACTTAACAACAACAACAACAACATACTGGAAAGCAAGTTTCAGTCTCTTCTTGACATCCATTTTGATCTTTTCGTTTTTCTTGTATTCTTAATGATCTTAATGATGTTCCTGATGTCATCCCAGAACTCTTCTGGTCTTCGGTCATTAGTGTTTAATGCATCAAATCTGTTCTTAAGATGGGCTCTAAATTCAGGTAGCATATGTGCAAGGTCATATTTTGGCTCTTGTGGATTGTTTTTTCTTCAGCTTCAACCCAACTTTGATGAGCTACTGATGGTCTGTTCCACAGTCTTCCATTGGCCTTGTTTTGGCTGATGATAAGGAGCTTTACTACTATCTCTTCCTACAGATGTAGTCAATTTGATTTCTGCATATTTCATATGGTGAGATCCATGTATATAGTTGTCATATGTGTTGTTTAATAAAGGTATTTGCAATGAATAAGTCATTGATCTTACAAAATTCTATCATGCTATCTCCAGCATTGTTTCTATCACCAAGGTTGTTTTCCAGCTACTAATCCTTCCTATTTGTTTCCAACCTTTGCATTCCAATCACCAGTGATTATCAATATACCTTGATTATATGTTTGATCAATTTCAGACTAAAAAAGTTGGTAGAATTCTTCAATTTCATCATCACTGGTACATAAATTTGATAAATAATGGTATCAACTCTTCTTCATTTTTGTTATTGTTGTTAAGTGCTGTTGAGTCAGTTCCGACTCATAACAACTCTTTTAGTGTTTCTGATGAGCAGCTGGTGAGTTTGAACTGTCAGCATTGTACTTCAAGATAGATCTTGAAATGTTCTTTCTGATGATGCCATTCTTCTTCAATTTGTCATTTCTGTCATAGTAAACCACATGATTATCAGATTCAAAATGGGCAATACCAGTCCATTTCCACTCACTAATTACTAGGATATCAATCTTCATTTATCCCATTTCATTGGCAGCAGTTTTTCACAGTATATTGGGCAGCAGTTTTTAGGAGTATATTGACTTTGTGTCTTACAAATCTTGATAAATTCATTTATCAATTTTTAAAATAGGTACTTTTTAATTTTTTCTATATAAAATTCATGTAATATGCAAAGAATGGTAGATATTCCTTTCCAATAATCTTGCTTTTTTTTTTTTTTTTTTTTTCTTGTCTTACTTGACTGGTTAAAATTCTCAGTATAATGAATAGAATTGGTATTCAATGAATAGAATTGGTAGAGTGCATCTATTTCTCATTTCTGATCTCGGAAAGAAAATTATCAGAATTCCACTCACTGTTGAGTATTGCATTTGCTATAAGATTTTGGTAAATATTTTTTTAGATTAGGAATTTTCCTTCTAATGATAGTTTGCTCAGATTTTCTCATGAATTTGAGTTAAATTTTGCTAAATGTTTACTCTCAACATATTGGTCTGTTGAATTTTAGTTTTTTTTCTTTTCATATATTTAACTTGATTAATTTCTGAAATGTTAAACTGCTCATGAATTCCAAGAAGAAATCTTAACGCTATTATTAAGTGCCACAAGTCGGTTCAGACTCACAGTGGCTCTGTATTGGGTTTCCAAGAGTTAGCAGTCCAGTGTTTATCCTACAACACCAGACCGACTCCAAATGTAACTTAGTTGGATATATTAATTGTGACATACAACCTTTTTGTATATCAGTAGATTTGATTTGATAATTTTTTGCTTAGCAGTTTCATTCCAATGTTAATGAAAAAGATTGATCTGTAAATTTTTCTTCTATTATCATTGTCAGCATTGGTATCAAATTTAATATCAACTGGTCTCATAAAAACAATTGAGAATTGTTTATTCTTTTTTTTTCCTTGACGATATTGTATAAGATTATGTTGTTAAGTGCCATCGAGTTGGTTCCGACTCATAGTGACCTTATTAGAGTTTATGAGGAGCAGCTGGTGGGTTTGAACT